ACCTCTGGAAATATTACACTGGAGCCACAGCTCTGCCAGAAGGGAAGGACAGAGAGTACTAACTGCAGCCAGTCGCATGAATGCAGCATCTGAGCAAAGGCATCGCAGAGTGAGAGGTGACATTTTGATTGATTCTTCACTCTGGTCAAAGCAGAATAACACTGGCAATTTCAGACACTTTTGCCATGCCTTTACTGTCCTTTGCTGTCTCAGTGTTAAAAGTGAATACATTCATTATCATCCACATGGAATTCTGTTCATCAAAAGCAAGCGCCTGATTCAAATTCAAGCTCTTGGGAACCCAACTCCTAGAAATTCACAGTTCATTTTCCACAATCTGTCTTACAAGCAGATACAGAAAGAGCAGTGCTTGCTTGATTTAGCAAACCAGAGGTTGAAAGGGAATACGAGCACTGCCTGTAAAATAATTCCAGGGAGGTGTAAGTGCCAAGTAGGGAAAACAGCTTTAATTAAAAGGCCTATAGACAAACCAATAAATAAATAGATAAATAAATAAATAGATTTTGCGATGGCAATATTGGAACAGAAATCAGACAGAAGTTTCCAAAAAGCAAAAGAAACAACTATCCTGAATAGAGGAGAGCAATAAGGAAGAAAGAAAACTCCATTTTTTAATGATACTTTTTGATGAGTTTAAGGTAGCACTACCACTTGCTACAGCCTTGAACCTCTCCTTAAGTTCTTAATGTATAAAATAGGTTTGAATGCTCCAAATGAAAACCCAACCACAGATTATCCATTATTACTTTGCCTAGTAAGAAATAAAGTGCATTTGAAATATATAGGTATACTGTTATTCTGTCTTATCCGAGTTCAGTTTGTGTTATCAGTAGCATCCAAAAAAAACACGCAAGCAATACCTAATGAAGAGTCTCAGCTTGTCTAAGAGCTCTCCCATAAGAGATTTATCTCTTTCCTTGTTGTCTAGTGCAACCACATGACAACAGCGATTATGACCTTGCAGGCTTCATACTGCACTGGACCCATCAGTCATATTGATTTTCTACTGTGGATGGAACATAAAAAATTATCTGGCCAAGTTGCTTTGCATCTGTTCCAGATTTCATCTCCATCGTTCTGCTGAGGATCTTCAGATTGGAAGACCCAAGAGAAGCTCAGCTATATCCCTTCAGCAATGTAAATCACAGAAGTTTGGACCAGATATCCCAAGCTACAGAAGATGAAAGTGTTGGGTGACCATGTAAAAGTCAATCCATGAGCTGGGCACATGCTCATCTTCTTTGCCAAACAGTTTGAGATCTATACCAGTGTCCAGCCTAGGACATAAGACTCTGCCCAGAGCAAGGCAACAGTGGGTTGCCTTATAAATAGACTGAGAAACACAGGCAGCCTTGGTTTCTCAAAAACTCTAAGAAACATCTCTATCCCAAAAGCTCATATTGGATATTTCCTTGAGAGTTGCTTCTCTCCATTAAAATCAAATCTCTTATCTCTGTGCATAAATCTCTGCTGCCTGTTTTCTCCTACTCTGTAGCATAGCATTGAGGGAGCTATGGGGAATTCAAATCTACAGTGTTTGCATATACCACATCAGGAAGCATATCTGATATTTCTGCAGGCTAGAAAACCTGCCAACTTCCACACTGTTGATGAAATTCCCCAGAGGTGCAAATAGCCAGGAAATCTCAGTTGTGTGTCTTGTAGCCAGGGTTTAAGGAAGAGATTTAGCTGAGAGCATCTAATACTTCAATTTTCATGAAGGCCAGCAGAAAGACTCCACATGTATCAATGCAAAGAAACAAAGCAATGGTGCTAACATGGGCCAGTTAACACCTTCTTGGACCATTCCCAGACAGTCTGTCTGGGACTTGGTACAAGCCAGAGACCATTTCCAGCACCCAATTTAGCTGCAGCCGCTCCTCTCTGTGTTGCAGACAGAAAGAGCTCTGGATTGTGTAGATGCCAGACCATGCCAGATGGCCTGCGTGGACTCGCTCACCTCCACGGTAGTCAAAGAGAGCCTGAGGACCATCTGCATTTTCATGCAACAGTGGATACACTCCTGGTTTCATCCTCATCAGTCATCTGACAATTCAGCTTCCCTACACCTGTGCTCTCCTCCGTAGAGCATGGACTGACACTGCTGGTGGGGAAGCCACAATAAGCAGGAGGAAGCAGGGTGTATGTAAAGCACATCCCTGTAGATGTGACCTGAGTTCTTGCCACAGGTCTGTGTGGATATGGCTGTGTGGACACGTACTTTCCCCACAAGGCTGCACAGCTGGTCCTGTTGCTGCTGTCAAGTGTAATGTGGATTCTGTGCTGCAGGGTAAGCTGTCTGAGGAGTACCCAGAATCATTGATGGGCCCCACAGGATCCCCCCTGTAAGACTGTTTATGTTGGTGTACTTATATCTGGATGACTGATACCACTACTTATTACTCTTGTTGTGCCTGTGGCTAAGCACAACCCAGCATCTGAACAGAATGATATACACACACAACATGAAATCATTGCCCAGACACAGAGAATCTGCAAACACTGTTCCTTATAGCTACCAGGAGTCCTCCCAGAGGTCCCTTCCCCTCCATCAGAAGCATTGCAATTGTATCCAGATCACTACCAAAATAAGGATACAGGGAGATAGCAGTTTGCAGAATCAGGTACACTACAATTAAAACAAACCTTAATGGTGACAGTGCTTTTATTTTACAGCTTTCCCATCTAAAGGGAGCTCAGATTTTTAGGGTTTTGTTTTGGCTTTTTCCTTTACTCACACAGATGCTACAAACTATGATAATCTCCATAGTGTCCCTCTGCCTGGGCAAAAGACACAAGCTGTTTAACAGCAGCATTTGCAGAGCATATCAGAATGAAAATGAGAGGAGGTGTTGCATCCACCTGGTACGGTGGGAAAACAAGGAGAAATCTGGCAGCCACTGCTGTTGGAGTGACGCCAGGGCACCAGGGTCACACAGCACCATGCACACAGCACCATGGGATCCCCTGCCACTCTGTGCAGGCAGGGTTACACACACTGCACACTCTGGGAATCACTTCATCCTAACCCCCTTCCACTCCCAGCTCCTTCACAGCTGAGTGCCCAAAAGCTCCGTGCAGAGCCATTGGGTCAGTGCCGCGTTTTGCTCCTTCTGAACCAACATCACTGCTTCAACTGAGCCTGGATGAGCTTGCTGGTCATCCTGCTTCTGCTAAGTCCAGTTTCATTTAGCGTTGTGAGGGATGCTACCACAGCATGAATAGCACAGCACTGTTGGAGTACACAGGAGCAAGGTGGGAGCACGATCTCCCCAACACAACACAACTCAGGGCAATTTGGGCAGGACAGCAGCAAAACATTTCCCCACAGCTCCCTGCAAGCAATTTTACACAGAGACACTCAGCAGGTAAATCAGACCAAAGCATTAACAGTCCATACTACCATAGTGGGCAGAAAGAACTATACACATGTATATGTCTAAGAACATGTACAAAACCTGCTACTTCTAATAATAATGTATTGATATATAGAGAGATAAAACATCCTTGTGTGAAAAGAAGAGGAAAACTGATGCTTGCTGGGTGACTTTTTATATCAGAAGCTTTTTCTTAGCAAATAGCTCTCTTTAAACCAGTGTCAGACTCAATTCAATCAGTCTGAAAAGACTAGAGTTCCTCCCTGGCAACTTCTGTTACCACGTCTATGTGAGAGAGGCTAGCTGCGTTGGGAAGAAAGGGGAAGGTCCTTCAAAATGCAGATGACAGGTATTCCCCTGTCAATTAACTAATTAAAAAAAAAAAAAATGCTGATGAGCCCATAAAACCTTGTCTCAATTAACTAGATCAGAACCCCACAGCGTGGTGCTTACAACATTCATGTTAATTCTAAATGGAATGACTGGGAACAATCTGTAGCAAAAGGAATTCATAATGATCTGACCATAATTTCAAAACATCACCAGGTTCCTTATGCTAAAAGCTGAGAAGGAGGCCAAGGATTTACCCCAAGCAGCCAAAAATCTGGCTGAGGGCAGAGGAGCCCAAGTTGCCCTTTCCCCCATGAACTTATATGGGCAAACACCACATCACACTGGTATCCCTTTTTCTCCTATTAGCATTCTGCTCACTGGGGCACTCAGACCCCCACTGTTAGCCCCAGAGCAGAGCTACCAGCAGGCTCCTGGCTCGGGGTTACCTTTACAGCACAGGCTAAAGGGACACGAGTTAACTTGATAACTTTGATGCCACAGCTATTAGACCAGACTGGAAACCTGTCACCTATCTCTCTGGCTGATTTCATTCTGCTCGGCTCCTGTCAGAGCCATTCTGTTGCTATTCATGAGAAAAGTCCAAGTTATGGAGAAGAGACCAGAGCTGTCTCATTTTAACACCTTCGTGACAAGAGGCAAGAAAGCACCTTTGTACCCTGCACAGAGGCACCTCAGAGACAACATCCCATGGGGCTAAACCCTGGGCTGACGTGGGTCCCAGGGATGGAGGAGCAGCAGCAGTAGCCCTGGAGCTTTCCCAGGCCTTGCTCGCAGCTCAGCATCTCCTGCTGCCGGCGGGGTTACCCTGGGGCAGGCAGGGTGTGGGGGACGAGACCTCTCGGACTGTCCCCTCCCCTCCCCGCCGCGGGTGGTGGTGGTTCCCCCTCTCTGTCTGCAGGGTGATGGAGAAGGAGTTGGAATGGGCCGTGCACAGCGGGCGGGCGGCGGAAAGTTTTTTTTTTTTGCTCCAGAAGAATGGTCTTTTAGAGACACTTCTGCCCCACTGCACACTGCTAAGCGAAGCCAATCCGCTGCTCCCGGGAACGTAATCCCCACTCAAAGAATAAAAAAAAAAAACCCGCATCCCTCTCCCACCCCACCCCCAGGAAAAGAAAAAAAAATAAAAAAATAAATAAAGAAAGAAAGAAAGAAAGAAAGAAAACAGGAGGAAGGGAAATCAGGAAAAAAAAAAAAAAAAAGAAAAAAAGAAAAGAAAAAAAAGGAAAAATGCAAACCCACCGCACCCACCCCCCCGAGCCCCCACGGCGGCGGTACTCACGCTGCTGTTTTGCCCCGACCAGTGCACCATGGCTTGGTTGTGCGCCGAGTCCCCGGTGAGGGCGAAGGTGGTGCTGCCCAGCCGCAGCTCCTCCAGCCCGAAGCGGGCGGCGCCGGAGCCCCCCGGCTCCCGCCCCGCGGCGCCGCCCGGCCCCGCCGTGCCCCGCGGGCTGCGGCCCCTCCGCCGCCGCCGGGTCGAGTTCCGCCGGCCGCCCCACTGAGGGTACTCCCCGGTAGGAGCCGCCGCTGCTCCGGGCCGGCCGTCCCCGGGCGCTTTCTCCGGCTCGCTCGCCCAGCTGCGGGTCTCCCAGCCGCTGAATTTGGTCCCCGCCAGAGCAGGGTCGAAGGGTGCTTGCAGCTCGGCATCCTCCGTATCCATCCCGGCCCCTTGCCCTCTCTCACCTCCCTGCTCCCCCGGGATCCTCCACTGTTCTTTTTCTCTTCTGTCGGTCTTCAAATGCATCGGTAATCCCTGCTGCGGATGCTGCTGCTGCTGCGGCTTCACCTGGGAATGGCAGGATCTGCAAGTTATTTCTGCGCCGGTAAAGCCAAAAGTGAAGAGGAAAAGCCATGTCCAGTACAGGAGAGCAACGTGCCAGGCTGGGTACCAGCCAGCAACTTTTTCCATCGCTGCTGACTGCTGATGAGTGAGAGGGAGAAAGAGCAGGAAGGAGCGAGCGGGGTGCTGCCGATCTACCCACCGCGGGGAAAACACTGCGAGAACTCCATAAAGTTTCAGACTGCTGTATTTGATGCAGCTGAGGAGAGGGAGAGTGCTTTCTCTCTCCCTCCTTTTTTTTTTTTTTTTTTCCTTCCTTATTTTCTTTTCCTTCTTTTGCACTTTTTTCCTTTTTTTTTCTGTCTTTTTTT